GCAAAAAAGAGAGGATGTGAGCAAGGACCGTTTGTGGCAAACTGCTTAGCCTGTCTTCTTCTTCATTCAAACTCTTCTTCCGTCCTCTGCTCTTGCTAGGAGTTGCCAGAAACTCCTCCATTTTTACAGAAGCACGAGAGATGTCTCTCGTCTGAAAGAGGAGGACGGCAAATAAGAGTAGTAGGGTTTGTAATGTTTTCAAGATCGGCCACCGGGGATTTTTCTTGGCGAATTCCAAGAAGGATGAATTTGTCCTCCCACGATTTTTTATTGGTCAAGTCAATTAATAAGCCAATTAGGATTAAGAAGGGAGGACCACTGACAGAATAGAACTTCATTTGATAATTTCCCATTTCCAAGCAAAGTCCTACACCAAAGCAACTCTTTTGGTGATTTCCCAACTCTCAAAAGTTCAAACAGAACGATTCTTCATCTATACGTCCATTGGTTTAATCTATTTTAGTACGTTAAGTTTAATGTTTTTTTCCCTCTTGTTTTGTTTATTTTCTAGATATTTTAGTAGTACATTTAATTCAATTTGAGACTTGGTGCATGAGGGGATAACATAATATATAGCTGAGCAGCATCTAATTGATGGTTATCATTTATCTGGTGATCTGTTTTAGGGGAAACCATTTATTCTACTAAACTGAGTTGTCTATAATGATCAAGTCTGTTCCCTTCTGTCTGTTGATCCCAAATATCTGAATGAAATATGTTTGAAGAGATAAAGTTCTCTACAATCACTGAATTTCCTCCCGTGGAATTCTCTACACTTGAAATCAAAATCAAGAGAGACATATTATCACATGAAGTTTTTGAGTTTGGGCTATGAAAATCAATTTCCCTAATTAAATTGCTTTCTCCATCATCAGATGCTTTAGAATATGAATCAGATTGTCTGGTGTAGTCCGCACCCCCAATTTTTCTATAGTGAATAATACATGGAGAATTATAAACGGAACAAGAATATTGAAATAAAAATGGTATTACTCCTGTAAATATAGATTGGAGATGCAGCTGATCATAGAAAATGATCCTGTCTGGAAAGATGAGTCCTTTTTCTTAATTTAATTTGATTACAATAGTGTGGCTCAGTGCTTTCCTACCTGTAATTTACTCTTGATTCCATGGATTGACTGCAACTAGCAGAACTTGAAGAGCTACACTGTGAATTGCTCCATGCTTCTGCGGATTAATCCAACCAAATCAGTGGGCATCCCTAATGATATCAAAATGCGGAACCTGTCAGTCCTAGTAGAACTACAATGAATGAAAAATCTACGGGTGCATAAAGAAAATACTTGAAAATAGAATTTTTATGCAACTTTTCTTACATTGAAAATAGAATTCTCATGTAACTGTTCTTACATTTAAATGCTTATACCTTGCTTTCTTTGAGAGGGAGCGAATGCACAAACAAACTCTGCAAGTATCCCTTTTCTCAACGTCTGATGGGGAGAAGAGATCAATACTAGTCAATCCCAAGATTTGGCAGATCTAGAAAAAGACAAGTACTGGTTAGATGAAGAACCAATCGATATTCTTATATATAGGGATTGAATGAAGTGTACTACTAAAAAAAATCGAGAAAATAAATAAAACAAGAGAAAAAAGAATCAAACCCGGCGTTACTATTACAGTATATTAAACCAATGAACGTGTAGATAAGAATCGTTCTGTATGAACTTTTGAGAACTGGGAATAACCTAACGAGTTGCTTTGGTGTAGATTTGTATTCTATGGAAGAATATCTCTTGAGATAGTACTGCGGAAAAAACTAACGGTGAGGCCACCGTTAGCTCTAAGTGGTCGTCCCTTCTTAATCCTGGTTAGTTTATTAATTGACTTGGACCAATAAAAAATCATGGGTGGACGAATTCGTCCTTCCCTGAATGAGCCAAGAAAAATCCGGCCACCGGACGGTCGGACAGTGTAAATCGAGAACGGTGGCCTTCTTGGATCCCGGTTATATTACGGTTTTTCCGGATTGGATGGGCAAACCGCCCGATTAACCAGTAAACTAGGACCCAGAGACAATTCTGCTTTTTACTCCGGTCCCAATCTTAAAAAAGCCCAATTGTAAACTTGGACTGGGCAATACTTGGCCCAATTTAACCTCTAAACCCTTAAACCCTAAAAACCCTAACATCAAACCTTAAATCCTATAATCAAGCCTAAATTCCAAAACCTTCAAAACTTAAAGGCTTAAACCAAACCCTAAAATCTAAATTCTAAATCCTTAAACCCTAAGCCTAAATCTTAAATTTATAGTAAAAAATACCTTTGGTTGTATGCATATCCTCCAAGGGGTAGGGATGTAAACGAATCATATTGGATTCGAATCAGAGTATATTCGAATTCGATTCAACACTGTTCATATAAGATCCAATATGATCCAAAGATCTGATCAGATCATATAGGACTCAATTTGAATTTGAATCCTATCGGTAAGTCATCAGATCTAATCCAATCTGACTTGTTTTCTTTAAAAATTAATAAATTGTTAAAAGAAAAATAAAATGCACTAATTTAAATAAAGTAGAAACAAAAAAATACAATTATTTTCATCATATATACATGTATTTTATAAAAAAATAATATAATAAATTTATAAAAATATAATATAAAAAATATATTTATAAATAAAAAAATAACCTATATATATATATGTGTGTGTGTGTATTATATATGGATTTGACTATGGTATGGAAAAGATGTGATATTTGAAAAACTTTTGATCAACCAAATGGAATCATAAATGTGGTAGCCAATCAGGTGTTATTTATTAAAATTATGGGTGGGTTTTGATTGGTCAAAATTCCTCCCATACCATACGTTTTCTGCATTTTGTATATATTTTGTATACAAACACCTAGAGTACAAAAACTTTGTATTTTGTATATATTTTCATTGTACATATTTGTATTTATATTCTTTACAAACTGAGTCCTAGATATTTAGGACCTATTGATTTTTGGATTTTGAGAGGAAGTTGGTTAATGGGATTTTGGTTTCCATTGACTAAGATACTCCTGTTCTGTTTTTCAGATTTATGTGATGTCTATGAAAAACTTATTTTCCCTTAGTGTTCATTGCGATTAAATGATATACATTTTTTTCAATTTCATCAAATTCGGATGAAATCCAAAATCCAAGACATCCAATTAAATTCAAATTCAAATTGACCTCCCATTCATCCGATCAGATTTTGGATCAAATTCGGATGGAAGAATTTTATTGTCGAGTCAAACTTGGATTTATATACATATGATCTGAGTCCGATCTGATTACAGACCTAAACGGGATGTAAACCGGTTTCTACACCCATGGATCCCAATACTAACCTTATTTCAGATCAGGGGAGTTAGTTGGTGATCCCTGGCAATACAAGAGACATGTAGGGAAGCTGAATTACTTAACTATCACCCATCCAGATATTTGTTTTGCAATGGAGGTTGTAACTTAGTTTATAAGCTCTCCGCATATCCCATACTTTGAAGTTGTGCACAGAATCATAAAGTTGTACCTTAAGGGATTACTTGGTATGGGAATCATCTATAAAGAGTATGGACTAAACTATGTATAGGTTCATAAATGCTGAGTAGGTTGGATCACTAATAGATAAGGGGTCAACAACAGGGTATTGTATGCTTTTAAGTGTTGTAGCTAAATTAAGTGCAAAATCTGTGTATTGAGTCATGAGTCAAGCAACAAGAGAATTGGTGTGGCTTAAGTGTCTTCTTCAAAAGGTGGGCCGACTGCTAAGAGTGGATTATGAAGTCTAATCCTTCTCTAAAATAGTTTGGCACTTTCACTATCTTCTCTCTTCTCCTATCTTCTCTCCTTTCTTTCTTTATTTTTTGGTTCGAACTCCATTGTAACCTTGTTGTACCACCTTTCACTATATATATATATATATATATATATATAACAAAAAGAAAATCTATCATAATTTAGTCTAATTAATTGCACAAAACCTCATACCTCTCAACCATATTGGTTTTCTTTGGCTAACTAACTATAGAGTTTTCATCTTTCTCCACGAAAGTGTAGTATAATTGGCTGTTGGAATCTATCAACTTCACACACCTTTTTCTCTAATGCAAGGGGAACTTCTTTCTCATTGCATTTCAGCAAACTAGCTCCCTCCACCTTTGTGATCATGGCCGCTCCATCCTTGGTGAGCTCAGTATAGTATATCGCATCATGCAAGTGTGCTTTAAACTTCTCAAAAAGCATTTGTTGTGACGATGCCTTAGGCTCTTAAACACTTTGATTAACGCCCTTACTGTTGCATGTAACTTGTACCATCTCATCAACTCCATGCTTAGTGGAGAATTTGCACAGTTAATTTCTTTGTCTACTTTTGCTACCTTGCATTGGAGGTACTCCTCTAGCTTGACTTTGCTAGTGAAGATTCTTCAAAGGGTGAAGCATTTCATTAAGTCATGTGTGATGGTTTGGTGGAAATAACACCATCTTGGTCTGTGATGGTCCCTATTTAGATTTACATGGGGAAATGGGGAGGGGTGGGGTAGCTCAATTATTCAGTCCTCTACAAGTATTTTCATGGTTAAAATGACCTCTCTTATTTGATCCAAAGGGAGGGGTGGAGAAGGTGGTGGGAATCATTTATGTCAGGAGTAGGATCATCATCACATGGCTTTAGTGCTGGTGCATTGGCGTTTATCTATTACGAAGGCTTCCTAAGCTAGGATTGTTGTTGTGGCTAGTATGGCTTGTTCTAGTGCAGTTGGGGTCTCCTGGTGGTCACAGTCATTCGCTCAACGCATTTCCACAATTGTGAAAAGCTGAGTAATTCTAGGTTTTCAATGGAAATGCAATGCCAAGCTACATTCCTTTGATTATTCGACTAAATCCTTCACTATTACATGTTCATTGTGTTGCAAATAGTCAAGAAGTTGTTCTTTGAATTACTACACAACATTTTTTAGGTTAGCAATTGTAACACATCATTCCAAGTGAACCACTTGGTGATAAGCTTCCAATGAGCGACTTAGAGAACTCTTGTACCTTAAGATCCCCATCCAACAACGTGAAGGGGTTCAAGGAATCTTCAAATTTATTGATGTTCTCTTGAGGGATACCACGATGGCCATCATATAGGGACCATTGCCAAGGTGGATGCATGGTAGCCAAATGGGTAGTGCCATTCCAAGGTTAGCAATTCAAGTATGACTTTTGGAGGATGAAATAAGTTTTGGCCTTCTATTGACAGGCCTCAATCAGAATTTTCACATACTCATGCAATTTTGCCCAATTAACAGGTGTCTCGAAGGGTCTTCTATCCTTTTCAATCACCACGGCTGGTGATGGTAGTGCTGATCAGACTATAGTGGGAATGGTCCCATCGATGAAGTAAGTAGATTTGAACAACTCTGGTGTTTGGAATGTCGGATCGAATATCTCCAATAGGGGAACTTGGGGGGTTGGTTCGAATGTCTTGGGTAAGTAGGTTGATGAGTATCCACCGATAGTTAGGTTTTGGAAGGTAATTGGGTTGCAAATTGGGGTAAAGTTTGAGGCTATATTGGAGAAACTATGCAAGTATGTCCTTGATTTAGGCTTACTACTACTCCAGGCGGTCGAAATTGTCAAACTTTTGGAGCTAGGTGGCAATGGTGTCAAGGAGTCTTTCAATTTGATAAGGTCGGCATGCCTATTGACTTTCTCAGTTAGGATCTTACTCACCAACATATACATCCTAAAACTGTAGTTGTGTTTCAAGAGACAGTATATGATTGTCCTCCACTAGTTTTTTCAAGGGTAAGGGACAGGTTGGTTCTCCTTGCTACCATTTCCGTGATCAAGGACCAATTGAAGATTCTTAATGTAGGTCTAGGTTGTATGGTGCTAGGAACTTATAATGGCATATTACTGCTTTGTTGGAAATATCTATATTGGGAACCTGACCTTATTACATTGTCATCTTCAATAATCCCTTCATTGGTTGTTTATGGAGAGGCTCCTTTTCGCAATCAAGGTGTGACACCTAATTTCATGTATTTTTACATATTTAAAGAACCAAGCTGCAAAAGAATCTGAAATTATTATGGAAGTTAAGCTAGCTATATTAAAAAAAAAAAATACTTCATAACGAATATCTCTTGGCACTAATTATCATAAAAGCACCTATTTCAACATTTGAGTTGCATAATGGGCATAGGTTGTTTGAGATTACCACTAGGTTTAATGTAACAAGAATAGCATTCAAGATTGCACATTTTTCACTTTTGGCTAGGAGTGCTCACGATTCGGTTAATAGTCGGTTTGATTCATCGGTTTTTCGAGTATTATATATAAAAAATACATAATATATAAATATATGTACTCTAGTCGGTTTGGTTAACCAAAACTTTTTGTTCGGTTTTTTGATTTCTTAGTTTTTCTTAGAGGTGTAAATTAGGTCACGCTGAGCCAACACCACATTGCCCGCAAGCAACCCGAGCAAGCACGGGCTATGCTATGTCAGCCCGTGGGCTGAGCCAAACCATGCTTCCCTCCTCTAGGATACTTTAGGGGGTCAGTCTGGTACAGCCACGACCCGAACCCATGTGGGCCTATGCCATGTTGTTTCGTGTTGTAGGCCTAAGCCGAGCGGGCTATAGGCCCTGTTGGGCTGGGCTACGATTCGGGCCTTAGGCCTAAGCTAAACTAGGCCAACCTGTTTTTTTTTTTTTTGACATTTTG